ACTAATTTCATTACTGACAAGTGAAAGTCTTGTCTATTACCTATATCTGTTACCTATTTCCTATACCTGTGCATTAGCATTCGATTCTATATTTTATTCTGCAGTGAAGAATGGTCCCATAATATCATGGCTGTGGGCATTATTATATATGAAAAAAGTCATGTCTTAGGCACAGTGAAAAATCTTTCTTCGGTCCCAATTTGTTTATAGAATTATAGTAGCCTTGGTGTTAATATGAATATTGCAAAGCAACTCTATTATATAATAATCTTGCCTTGTTGTTTTTATTGTCTTGTGGAACTCAAATACCAAATACCACCTATGAACATAAACAACAAAAGACAAAAAGATTATTTTAAACAGCATCCATGGTAGAATCATTTATCCAAATAAACTAAAAACTGTCAATGTACTTGTTAGCTGTTTCCTCATGGGAAAGAAAGAATTTCAAATGCCTTACACTATGTACATTTTTCAAAAGCATCGTTGGCTTGCTCTCTCATTAGAGAAGGGACACACAGTGGTAGTGTCCCCTTATCTGCAGTTTCACTTTCTGTGGTTTCAGTTATCTACGGTCAACAATGGCCCAAAAATATTAAATATAAAATTTCTGAAATAGTTAATCAACTTTACATTGCTTGCCATTCTGAGTACCATAATGAAATCTTTCCCTATCTTCCTCTGTACTGCCTTCGATGTGGGTCTTCCCTTTGTCCAGCATATCATGCTGTCAACCCAAACTGTCCTATTAGTAACTTAGCAGTCGTGTCTGTTACCGGATTCACTGTCATGCGATTGCAATGCTTATCTTAAGTAGCCTTTATTTTACTTAATAACCCCAAAATACAAGAGTAGCGATACTGGTGTATTGTTATACTTGTTCTATTCTTTGATTTGTTGTTGTTGTTTATCTCTTACTGTGCCTGATTTATGAATTAAACTTTGTGTATGCATGTAGGGGGAAAACAGTGTATTTAGAGTTTTGTACTCTCTGCAATTTCAGGCATCCATTGGGGGCCTTGGAATGTGTCTCCCTCATGCAAAGTGGGACTACTGTGTTCCGCCAGGGTGTCTCCTGCAGGTGTAGTATTGACAAGGGTGAAATTTGTAGCTTGCGATTATAAAATACAGCTCTAAAGCACTAACACCATAGAAAATCCACATACATAAACTGTAGTAGCAGGTAGAGAATAAACGTCCAGGGCTTAACTTTCCTGTGGCTGTATCTCAGCTGAAGATGCAGGCAAAAGTTGGAAATAAATGCAGTTTTCAGGTTCTGTTCTAGTGAAACTTAAGTTGAGAGTGAGGAGAGAGTGAGAGAGAGAGAGAAATAAGACAAAAGAAACAAATTGATAGTAGTGAAAGTAGAGGCTTTCTGAACAATGTGTTCATGAGTGTGTCTGAGCTAGACAGGAGTGCAGCTCTGTACCTGCAGGGAACAGTTCCTTGATATTCTGCCCTCTTGGGGTGAAGAATTAAGGAGGAATGCCATACCTGTACATGCTAGTTTGTATCAAAACTTTTTTTAAAGGTTAAGGAAAAGTCTTCTAATATTTAATTATTAAAGTGATACTGGAAATTTGCATCCTTGAATATGAATCTATTTTATAATTTATCTCTGACACTCATTTACAAAGCTATATGAAAAATCAGTGTTTGATTAGAACTGTGATAGTGCATTTTGGTTTGGTTAACAAAATGCTGCCAGTCACCTGTGTGATCTGGGCAACTCTTCTGAACTTTGATTTTCTAATCCTTAAAATGAAGTGATGCTACCAACTTTGCGGATTTGTTGAAGACTTAAATGAGAACACATGAATAAAATACCTAGAATCATGTCTGGCATGTAGTATTTTTAATTCAGTCCGGTGTTTTCAGAGTGGGCTTTCTGGAGCACTGTTCCCAAAATTGTCCAACCTCCCACCATTCGTTCTCTGCAGATATATACATTAGAGTTACCTCATTGTCTACAACCGTTCAGTGGTTCTTATCACTCTCCCAACTGTTAGTCACGCCAGGTAGCTCCGTAAGACTGGTCCCTGCTAGTTGTCTAACCTCACCCCATTGCTGTCACACAGGCCTGCAGTTTGTTTTCTGAGCATGCAGAGCATTTTTTTTTTTTTTTGGTCTCTAGGCCTTTGCAGACACTCTTCCCTAAACTTAGAAGTCTGGTGCCCCCAAGTTCTTCTTATGGCTGCCGCCTCTAAAATATCACCCTGGAGAATATTTCCCCAGCCATCCATTTAAGTACATTTCCCCTCTTTAATCACTCCTTATCACAAGGCCCTGGTTATTTCTTTATAGTAATCATGACAATCTGAAATTACCCTGTTTTGTGTTTACTATGTTTTATCTGTCTCCTTCCTCTAGAATATAAATGTCATAAGGGCAATGACCTTGTCTGTGTGTTCACTGCTGTTTTGCTGGGGCCTAGGATAGCAGTTGGCACCTGATAAAAATGAAATAAATATTTGTTGAGCTTTTCATCAATGATACACATTCCAGGAGAAAGAGAACAGGTGATTTGAAGCAACGTATTTTTGAAAGAGAAATTCTAAACGGTTATTCTGAAGCAGGATCTTGTCGCAAACTACAAATACCATAAAGCATATGTTTGCTTTGTCACAGGTAGTCCCAAGCCCTTCATAGTTGTAGTTTATTAAAAACAGTTTTATTGAGATATAATTTACATGCCATAAAATTTACCCATGTTTAAAGTATGTAGTTCAGGTGTTTTTAGTATATTCACAAATATGTGCAATTATCACTATGGTCACTTTTAAACATGTTCATCACCTTGGAATGAAGCCCTGTGTTAACTATCACTCTCCCATTCCTCCACTCACTACCCCAGTCCCCAGTTGCAAGCAACCAGTGATCTACTTTTTGTTCTCTATGGATTTCCTTATTCTGAATTTTATATAAATGGAATCACATAATATGTGGCATTTTGTGACTTGCTTCTTTCACTGAGCACAATGATTTGAAGGTCTGTTCAAACTGTACCATATTATCAGTACTTTATAGCTGAATAATATTCCGGTGTATGAATATGGCACATTTTGTTCATCATTTCTCTGTTGATGAGGATTTGGATTGTTTCCATCTTTTAGTTATGAGTAATTCTGCTATAAATATTCATGTACAATTTTTGTGTAGACATATTTTTATTTATCTTGGGTATATTCCCAGAGTAGAATTGCTGGATCATATGGTTACTATGTACATGTTTTAGAAACTGACAGACTATTTTCCAAAGTTATCTTCTTTCTTTTTAAAAATATTTTGGTTAATATAGCTAAATGTTTGTCAATTTTCTTGATCTTTTCAAAAAAACAGCTTCAGTTTCACTGGTTTGTTTTTCTGCTCTCTATCTCATTAATTTCCACTCTAATCTTTATTATTTCTTCATCTGCTTGCTTTACATTTAGCCCCTATAGCTCCCCTCCCCCGGGCCATGATTTTTTTAGTATCCTAAGGTGGTAGGTTGGGTTATTGATTTGAGATCAGTCTTTCATCTTAATATAGGCACTTAACAGCTTTAAATTTTTCTCTAAGTTGGTGCTTTACCCAAATTTTGGTACATTATATCTTCATTTTTATTTATGTCAAAGTATTTTCTGACCGTTGTTTTGGTTTCTTCTCTGACCTACTGATTATTTCAGAGTGTGTTGTTCATATATTTGTTAGTTTCCCCAATTTTTTCTAATTTCATTCTTTGGTGGTCAAGACACATGCTTTGTATTAGATTTGTCTTTTTCTATTTATTGAGATTTGTTTTGTGGCTTCTTACATGGCCTATCCTGGAGAATTGTCCATGTGCTTTTGAGATGAATGTATATATTATTGTTGTTGGATGGGTGTTCTCTAGATGCTTGTTAGGTCTAGTTGATTTATAGTATTAAGTCTTTAATTTCCTTCTTGATTTTCTGTCTAGTTGTTCTATCTATTCTTGAAAGTCAGTTAGTGAGGTCTCCAAATATTTTTGTTGAGTTTTATTTCTCCTTTTATTTCTTTAAGTTTTTGCTTCATGTATTTTGGTGCTTTGTTATTTGATGCATATGTATACTTATAATGACTGTATCTTCCTGAAGGACTGAAACTTTTGATTATAAAATGTCTCTGTTTATCTCTAGTACCATGTTTTCTTCTAAACTCTATTTTGTCTGATATTGGTATTACATTTCATTTCCAGCTTGCATGTGGTTGTATTTGCATGATATTTCTTTTTTCATTCTTTTAATCTACTTATGTCATTAAATCTAAAGTGTGTCTCCTATAGACAGAATATAGTTGGGTCATTTTTTTATAGTCTTCAAACCCCTACATTTTTATCGAGTTGTATAATGCATCCATATTTAATGTTGTTTATTATTATAGTTTTATTTACATCTACCCTTTTACTTTTCATTTCTGTGTCTCATTCCTTTTGTGTTGATCATCTCTTCCTTTACTTCTTTCTCTTTCATTAAGTAAATATTTTTTAATGTGGCATTTTAATGTTTAATGATTTTTTTCACTATAGTTTTTGAGATTTTTATTCTAGTGGTTATTCTTGGGCTTGCTATCTACATTTTAATTTATCAGAATCATCTTCAGGTATATACTGGCTTAATTCCAGTGATACATAGATATAGAAATGTTACCCCTATATAGCTATATTCCCTAATCCCCTTTTTTGTGATGAATTGCTATACATTTATACCAATTAATATTATAAACCAAATGACACATTATCATTATTATTTGGTTATATTTAATTAGTTTCATAGCTGAATATACCTTTACTGTCACACATCTCTTTTGTGCTAATGTTGGTAAACATTATACAAATATTACAATTCTTTAAGTTATAAGTCCAACATTGTGTTATATATAGAATTATTTTATACCATTGCTTTTAAAATCAGTTAGAAGACAGAAGCTTAAGCTTTTTTGCTTTTATTTTTGTTCCTCATTACATTTACCAGTAATCTTTTTTTTTTTTTTACCTTTACCAGTAGTCTTATGGATTTAAATTACCAGCTGGGGTCACTTGCTTTCAGCTTGAAGAACTTTCTTTAGTATTTCTTTTAAGGTAAGTCTACCTGCAATAAATTGTTTTTGTTTAGTTGTAATGTTTAAAAGTGAACTGTAACATTTATGCACACATTTCATAAAAGTAATAATTCAGAAGTCTCCACAACAGATTGAAATTTATATTAATACATAATAATCTAGCTATGTCCAAGATTCATAGAAATTCAGATATTTGAATTTACAGGTACGTTTCAGATGGCTGAACTTTTTGGATACATTGGGCAGCCAAACATATTTGAATCCTAATTTATACTATTTCTTTAGGGCACAGAAATGTCTCATTGGCATGGAAAGGAAAGAGAAATGAATCTTGTAGAAAGGGCTTCATTTAAAAAATAAGTCTCAATTTCTCATTTGATTTTGGTATAAATGTGTAAGGGCACATGGTGGCATTAATACCAAATCCAGTGTGAGGATTAAAAAAAACAAAACAAAAACTTTTAAGGCCAGGTGTAGTGGCTCATCACTGTAATCCCAGCACTTTGGGAGGCCAAGGTGGGTGGATCACCTGAGGTCAGGAGTTTGAGGCTGGCCAACATGGTGAAACCCTTTCTCTACTAAAAATACAAAAACTAGCTGGGCATGGTGGTGGGCAGCTATAATCTCAGCTACTTGGGAGGCTGAAGCAGGAGAATTGCTTACACCTGGGAGGCAAAGGTTGCAATGAACTGAGATTGCACCACACTCCGGCCTGTGTGACATGAGCGGAACTGCAGGTCAAAGAAAAGAAAAGAATGTTTATCTGCAAACCGTGAATCCTTTTAAATTATGAGGCACATAGAGGCCTTATGATGAGACAGAAATCAAGTCCTACTCTCCCAGCCCCCACACCTTTTGAGGTATGTGCTATATATTCCCTTGAAACCTATTGCCACAAGTAGCTGTGAATTAACCTAATAATGCTGTACTAGGCACTATAACCCAAACCCTATAGCTTAACAATGTATATCTATATAGATAACATACATCAGTAGTATATGTTATTTAAGGAAAATTCTTTGTGAACAACTTTGAAACTACTTCTTTGTTTAAAAATCTGCTGGTTACTACTGTTAATAGAAATGTATATTCAGGGAAACTTGAATCTATGCTCCTGGGCTACAGTCCTCAAGCTTGGCCCAAATAAGTGCTGTACTTTTATTTTTTAAAAATGCCTCATTGAAATTAATACACAGATCCTTTTACATAGAGTTTGTGACTCTGATGATTATGGGAAGTGAGTAGCATCAACAGTATGTCCAACAGCATTTGAAACACTTTTTTTGGTTTGCTAAAGATTAGATTTCTGACTTTATGTATTTTTTTCAGACCAAAAAAGACACATTAAAAGTTATATACTTATCAAATTTATATATTGGATTTCAGGCAATACTATATCATTTCTAGTCATTATTCAGTTGGTGCAGATAGGATTATTTAATAAGTCAAATGGGAAATCTGGAGCTGTGAATACTTTATATTCTGTTTGTGGAGTATTGTATGTGAAGGCGAATCTACATGTGCCTGAAGGCAAATTTAGTCTTTTATTTGTTATCTGAAAACTCTGAGTTTGTTGATATGCATGGAGTACTGCTTTAATACTTATATTTAGTAATTTTATTAATGAAAGGCAATATCCTGAGGGGCAACAATTCTTATATCCTCTTTTTAATATTAATTGATTTAGTATATTGCCAACTCTAATGGTCCTTCCAATCCCATGAGTGACCTTTCTGAAGTAATCTGACATGTTTAATGCATTATAATGATAATAATGACAATTACTTGGTTTTCTCTTATGCATTTCTTCTGAGGAGCTCAAAGCACCGTAGGCCTTTTTTATACAATTAATTTTTATAAAATATTTATAATGTGGTAAAACTCACATAGGAGAGGTTATACACTCAAGAAAGAGCAGTATTTCTATAACACAGATCTAAGATATCATGGTCTAACAGTAAAAACATATTGAAATATTTAAATTGTATTTTCATGTCTGTCACTGGGCTCCATATATGCTCTTGGCTAAAATTTTGACCCATTGTTTACTTCTTTTTTCTTTTCCTCTTGCAAACTGAGATTTCTGACTCAACTGACCAATTACAGTAAACATTTTCATTAGTTAATAGACAACTAACTGTCCAATAGAAAATTTCATTCAAACATGTTAATTCTATAGTAAGGTTAAGAATCATTCCTTACTATACTGAATTTTGAGATACTGTAAGTAAATAAGATTAATATATATATACAGAGTCACACATACACACAGATACACATAGACATAGTTCAATAAAGCATGGATAAAGATTGTTTTCTACAATCAGTGATACAGGAGGTAGATAGAAATTATTATTATTATTATTTAAGGCAGAGTTTTGCTCTTGTTGCCCACACTGGACTGCAGTGGCACGATCTCGGCTCACTGCAACCTCCCCCTCCCAGGTTCAAGCGATTCTCCTGCCTCAGCCTCCCAAGTAGCTGGGATTACAGGTGCCCACCACAATGTCTGGCTAATTTTGTATTTTTAGCGAAGATGGAGTTTCTCCATGTTGGTCAGGACTGGTCTCAAACTCCCGACCTCAGGTGATCCACCTGCCTTGGTCTCCCAAAGTGCTAGGATTACAGGCATATGCCACCACACCCGGCTGATAGATAGACATTATTTAGGTAGATAGTGAAGATAAAAGAGTCCTCGGCAAAGCTTCCCTTCTAACAAAAAAGCAGCACAAGACATTTTTTTCCTAGCAAAGAGCAGCCTAAAAAATTGAGCTGTAGACATACATAAACAAGCTGGGAGCTCGCACGGGCAAATGCTGGTAGATGTGCCAATAGATAAGGGGGCCAGGCATATCGAATGTGGAGGATTCATCTTCCCTCTTTTTGTAACCAGGTGTACAGTAAAGGAATAGGCAACATGGTACTGGCTAGGCAGAGAAACCATCTGCATAATAAAAGATTAGGTGGGGGTAGCCAGAAATTTATACCCTATGCAAATGGCATGCCTAATCTTAACTAGTTTTTTTGTGCATTATGCAAAGGGCACAACTGGTCTAACCAATTTTTTTGTGCTCTATATAAATCAGACACCACCTTCTCAAGCTCATCAATAAAAACCTTCACCGCAGGACTGGCAACCTGTTTCTCTGGGACCCCTCTCTGCTGGAGATAGCTCTTCTCTTTCTTTCACCTCTTAAACTTTCACTGCTGATCTCACTCTCCGATACAACGATATCCTCATTAGAAAAAGACACACAGACAAAGGGATGACCATTTAAGACACAATGAGAAGGCAACCCACTGCAAGCCATGGAAGAAAGCAAACCTGCTGACACTTTGATCTTGAGCTTGAATCCTCCAGAATGGTGAGAAAATAAATTTCTGTTGTCTCAGCCACCCACTCTGTGATAATTTATATGGCAAGGTTCGCAAACAAATAGTTACTAAGATGACAGTTTGTATAAGGAAATTCAGCTCAAAAATAATAGAAGACTCCCATAAGGACAACTGTCACCAAGTTGAAGGTGTATGTAGTTAATTCTAAATGTCATCTTGACTGGGCCAATGGGGCCCAGCTTAAATATTATTTCTAGGTATCTTTCTGAGGGTGTTTCTAGATGGGATTAGCATTAGAATTGGTTGACTCAGTAAACGAGGTTGTCCTCCCCAGTGTGGGTAGACTTCATCCAATTTGTTAAGAAGGAAAATAATTCTCCCCTTTTTGCCTCCTGCCTGCCTGTTGAGCTGGGACATTAGTCTCCATTTCCTTACTTTGATTGAAATTTACACCATGGGCTCCTTGGTTCTCAGGCCATTGGACCCAGCCTGGAATTACACCACCGGCTTTGCTTGGTCTCCAGCCTGCAGACAAATAGATTGTGGGATTCTCAGCCATCATAAGTGTGTGAGCTAATTTTGCATAAGTCTCTTCATATTTATGTGTGTATGTGTGAGAGTGTGTGTGTGTGTATCCATATCCTATTGGGATCTGATATACATCCTATTATATAGATGTACTTACATATATACATGTTACATTTATGTACAATATATATACACATACACACACACTTTATGTGTTCTATTTTTCTGGAGAACCCTGACTAATATAGAAAGAAAGTTCTAAATCTAACAAAAGCAGAAAAAAGTATAGTAAAAGAAGCATAATTAATATGAAAATATTATTCTACAAGTAAAGTGTTACTATAATCCTGTATTTTTTCTGTGTGTTATTACTACTGTGTTTTGGAACTTCAGATGATTTCTTATTACTCACTAACAGCCTCTTCTTTCAGACTGAAGAACTCCCTGTAGCATTTCTTGTAAGACAGGTCTGGTGGTTGATGAAATTCCTCAGCTTTTGTTTGAGAAGGTCTTGATTTCTTTTTCATGCATAAAGAATATTTTTATCAAACACACTATACTAGGGTAAAAGTTCTTTTCCTTCAGTGCTTTACCTTTGTCTTGCCACTCTTTCCTGGCCTGTAAGCTTTCCACTGAATAGTCTGCTGCCAGACATATTGGAGCTCCAGTGTATGTTACTTGTTTTTCTTCTCTTGCTGCTTTTAGGATCCTTTCTTCATATTTGACCTTCATCAGTTTGATTATTAAATGGCTTGAGGTAGTCTTTTTGGGGTTAAATCTGCTTGGTGTTTTGTAATCTTCTCATAATTGAATATTCATATTTTTTCTCTGGGTTTAAGAAGTTTTCTAGTATTATCCCATTGAGTAAACTTTCTACCTCATCTCTTTCTCTATCTCCTGTTTAAGGACAATAACTCTTAGATTTGCCCTTTTTGAGGCTATTTTCTACATCTTGTAGGGATGTTTTGTTTTTTATTCTCTTTTACTTCTGTCTCCTCTGACTCTGTTTTTTCCAATAGCCTGTCTTCAAGCTCCATAATTCTTTCTTCTCCTTGATCAAGTCTGCTATTAAGGACTCTGACGCATTCTTCAGTGTGCCAGTTGCATTTTTCAACTCCAGAATTTCTGCTTTATTTTTTAAAATTATTTCTATCACTTTGTCAAATTTATCTGTTAGAATTCAGGATTCCTCCTCTGTGTTATCTTGACCTCTGAGTTTCCTCAACACAGCTATTTTGAATTCTCTGTCTAAAAGGTCATGTATCTTTGTTTCTCCAGGATTTGTCCCTGGTGACTTATTTAGTTTACTTGGTGAGGTTATGTTTTCCTGGAGGGTGTTGATGTTTGTGGATGTTCATCCATGTCTGGGCATTTATTGTGTAATCTTCACAGTCTGGGCCTGCTTGTGCCTGCTTTTCCTGGGAAGGGTTTCCAGGTGTTCAAAGGGACTTGAGTCTCAAACCTAGTAGCACTGTGGCTGAATTGGTACCTAAGGTATATGACAGTGTTTTATTTTTCCACCGCTTTTCTCAAACAGAAGGAATCTTTCACTGTAGCCACTGCAGCTGTGCTGGTGTGCATATGAAGCCAGCACATCTCAGAGCCCAAGGCCCATGGTGTACTCGTTGGGTATCTCTGTTGGTTATTTAGGACCCAGAGGCTCTTCAGTCAGCAGGTGATGAATCCTGCCTGGTCTCTGTTGTGACAGGGCAGCAGAGTTCAATGTGAAGTTCCCCAGTTGCTGTGCTCTCCCTCTCCCAAGTGAACAGATTTTTCCACTTTGTGTGGCTCCTACCGTGTGGTAGGGAAGGGATGGCATAAGCACTCCCTTAACCATCCTGACTGGTAACCTGTTAGGTTGCATTCACCCTCCTCCTGCCACCACCCATCCACTGTCTGTGTTTCCAGCCCAGAACGAGGACTTGTTTAGGAATTGCAGTCCTTGTCGCCTAGACTGCCCCTCAAGTTTACTTTGGACCCCAGAGTAATCCAGTCCTTGGTAGCAAGACTTCCTGGAAATCAAGCTCCAACAATTGGAGTGGATGATTCCCCTCTGGCTAGGGCCAGTCCAAATGCTCACTCGGTGGGTGGACGTCAGCTGAATACAGCCTGGTCCTACTTTCTGCCATGTCAAGGCAGCACTGAGTTCAATGCAAAGTTTTACGATTGCTGTGCTGTCCCTTTCCCAAGTGCTCAGATTCTCAGAGGTGTGCAGTCTCTGCCTGGGGATAGGGGAAGGGTGAAGTCGATGATTCGACTGTCTTTCCTGGCCTCTTCAATACCTCTGTCAGTGATGTGAAGTTAAAACTGGGTAAGGTGATTGCTCATGTTATTTTTGGTTCTTATAATGGTGCTTTCTGTTTGTGGTTAGTTGTTAAAGTTTGGTGTTCCTGCAGCAGGGACAAACAGTGTAGGCTTCTATTCAGCCATCTTGTTCTGCCTCCTGAATTTATCAGTTCTTACAATTGTTGGCAGAGTCTTTAGGTTTTTCTGTATAAAAGAGTATGTCATCAACGAATTGTGACAATCTCACTTCTTCCTTTTCTATCGGAATGCTTTTTATTTTTCTTTTGCTTCACTGCTCTGGCCAGAAATTTCAGTATGTTAAACTTGAAGTAGTCAGAGTGATTGTCCTTGTCATGTTCCCAATGTCATAGCAATGGCCTTTTACTCTTCACCATTAAGATTTTAACTGTGTGCTTGTCATATATGACCTTTATTGTGCTGAGGACCATTTTTTTAATACCTACTTAGTTGAGAGTTTTTATCATGAAATGATGTTGAATTTTGTCATATGCCTTTTATACATACATTGAGATCATCATATGGTTTTTGTCCTTTATTCTGTTAATATGATATATTGAATGTATCAATTTATGTATATTGTACCAGTCTTGCATTTCAGAAATGAGAAATTTCTGAATTTCACCTCTTGATATGATGAATGATTCTTTTAATGTGCAGGCACATGGTTTGCTAGTATTTTGTTGAGGATTTTTGCATCTGTGTTTATCATTGATGTTGACTGTAATTTTATTTTCGTGAAGTGTCTTTGACTTTGGGATCAGGGGGATGTGGTCTCATAAAATGAGTTTGCAAGTTTTTCTTCTTTAATTTTTTGGAAGAGATTGAGAAGTATTGGTATTAGTTATTCAAATGTTAGGTAGAATTCAGCTATGAATCCATCTGGTCCTAGGCTTTTCTTTCATATGAGATTTTTTTTTTTTTTTTTTTTTGAGATGGAGTCTCCCTCTGTTGCCTAGGCTAGAGTGCAGTAGCACCATCTCAGCTCACTGCAAACTCCACCTCCTGGGTTCAAGTGATTCTCCTGCCTCCGACTCTTGAGCAGCTGGGACTACAGAAGTGTGCCACCAATCCCAGCTAATTTTTGTATTTTTAATAGGCAGAATTTCACCATATTGACCAGGCTGGTCTCAAACTCTTACCCTTGTGATCTGCCCACTTTGGACTCCCAAAGTGCTGGGATTGCTGGCGTAAGCCATCGTACCCAGCCCATATGAGATTTTAATTACTGATTCTGTCCCTTTAATCATTATTGATCAGTTCATATTTTCAATTTCAGTTTGATTCAGTCTTGATATGTATTATGTTTCCAGGAATTGACTCATTTTTTCTAGGTTGTCCTATTTGTTGGTATGTAATTGTTAACAGCATTCTCTTAGGATCCTTTGCATTTCTGTGTTATGGGTTGTAATGTCTCCTCTTTCATTTCTGACTTTGTCTTCTTTCTTCTTTGCTTAATCTAGATAAGGGTTTGTCAGTTTTGCTTAGCTTTTCAAAAATGAACTCTCTTTTTTTTTAGATATTTTGTGTTGTTTTTCTAGTCTTTATTAATGCTCTGATATTTGTTATTTACTTCTTTTTGCTAATTTTGAGCTTAGTTTTTTCTTTTTATACTTCTTTGAGGTATAATGTTAGGTTGTTTATTTGGGATCTTTCTTCTGTTTTGATGTAGGTATTCATTGCTTTAAAATCCTCTGTTATAACTGACTTTACTCCATTCAATAAGTTTTGATATGTCATGTTTCAATTTTTGCTTGTCTCAAGATATTTAAAATTTTATCTTTAGTTAGTTCTTTGACTCAACAGATTTTAAAAAGTGTATTAATTAGTTTTCATATATTTGTTAAATTTCTAGGATTCTTGCTATTATTGATTTTTAGCTTTGTACTATTGTAGTTGAAAAAGAGACTTAATATGATTTTGATCTCAAACGTATGAAGACTGGTTTTGGGCCTAACATGTGATCTATCTTGGAAAATGCTTCATAATCACTTGAGAAAAATGTGTATTCTGTTGCTGTTGGGTGGAATTTTCTGCATATTCTATTTGTTCTAAAGTGTAGTTTGAGTGCAGTGTTTTCTTCTGTCTCGATGGTCTGTCCATTGTTGGAAGTGTTGTATTAAATTATCTTACTATCATTGTGTGGCAGTCTATGTTTCCCTTTGTATCTATTAATGTTTGCTTTATATGTTTAGGT